AAAAAAAAAAAAAAAAAAAAAAAAAAAAAAAAAAAAAAAAAAAAAAAAAGCAATATAATAATAAGAACACCAAGAACAAATTGTTTCATTTATTGGAATCCCTTTCTCAACCATTACAACTTCCAAAAAAAAAAAATTGTATACAAAAATTCACACAATTTGCAACATTTATATAAAAAAACACACCACCCTTTCCATAAAATAAATTACATAAAAAAAAAATTAGACCTTAAAAAAATTAAATTTCACTCAAAACCGGAACCCGAACAAGTTCATAACTCGAAATTAGAGGAAGCTCGATTTCGACCTCGATTTCAATGACCCGAAAAAATCAAATAAGATTTGAAAGCTAAAAATAATATTTTTGTATAAAAAAAAATTAATTAAAAAAAAAAAAAACATAGAAATTTGATGAAGCAATGAAGGGTTGAATAAAAGAACCAACCAATGCTTCATCAAAGACTTCACTCAGTAGGAGACGATAGCCTTCTTTGAATCCTCTGCAACTAAAGCTCCAACTCCCATGGCGGAAGCTTTAGAAACCCACCAAACCCTCAAGCTTCTATCAAGGCTACCACTGTACAACAAGAATCCCTCACCCACACCATTTGGCGCCACCTGTAAGCATTTAATTGGTCCGTCATGCCCATTTATCACCCCAACTTTACACAGCCTTCCAAACGCTTCTCTTCTCCAAATCCCTATGCTCTTATCCGCCGATCCACTGCACAAAAACTCCCCCATCAAACACACGCACAGCACCGCCATTTTATGAGCCCTTCTCTCCCAAGTCACCTTCCAACAGCTCACCGATTCCCCTGTTTTTTCCCAACCCATCAAGAACCCATCTGAAATTCCCCCATATACCCACTTCCCGTCGCCGGAAACCACCACACAGTTCATCGATTCATCCTTGTGACCCTCTAAAATCCCTAATAAACAATGGGTTTCTTCCTGTTCTTGTTTTTTTCTTCCCCATGCTTTGATTTTCCCATCTGCTGAAGCGGAATAAACAATCCCATTACAGATAACAATCCCATTAATGGCATCATCATGAGCCTTAATGGATTCCAAGCATTTTAAATCAGAAACCCTCCAAATTTTTAGGGTTTTATCCCAAGAACCAGAGTAAATCAATCCATTATGAACTGCTAAACAAGAAATGGTATCAGCGTGTTCAATCCAGAGGATTTTATGGTGTCTTCTTGTTTGAACATAGTTTCTTTGTTTCATGAACTTACCCAAATAATCTTTCGCTGTTGGGAGTGTGTTTACCAAGCGGAAATTGTTCTCCGACCGCCGTGAAACCTTCCAGACTCTGATTTTTCCGTCTTGATGAGCGGTGAAAACCTTGCTTCCTACGGTGACTACTGCCTTTACAGATCCTTCACCATGGCCGAATCGGGTGAAAACCCTTAAATCCGGTTGTTGCCATACGATTATGTCTTTTCCTTGCGATGCACTTAAAATGAACTCCCCGCACAGTGCTAAGCAAGAAACAGAGCCGATGTGGCCGGAGAGAACCGCCAGTTGCCGATACGGGCAATACCCAGATGGGGATTTGGAAAGGAAATCGCAGCGGAATCCGATTTGTTTCAAATCGAAGGTGTAGGAGGGCGCCGGAGTGTTCTCGTCGGCGTCACTGCTGGTGTCGGAGCTTGTTGAATGTAACAATGGCGTCGCTGCTTCTGCTACAAGAGGATCCATTGAAGAGAAAGAAAGGGAAAGAAAAGGGGGAGCGGAGGAGAAGGGGAGTCTTTGAATCCGTTGCGAGGAGTGAAGAATTGGGGTTCGCTCGCTTGTTTGTTTATTCAATTAAATTTGGAGAAAAGTGGAACTGAAGAAGGGTCGGTGCAACGGATACTTTTGGTTGTTCATAGAAAGAGAACTCTATGTGGGCCACTTAAAATTGGAGCTTTTGGGTTCTTTTTTTCATTTTTTCTTTCTTTAATGAATTTATTTAGGGTTTTTTTTTTAAAAAAAAATTATTTTTTTGATTAATTTATTTAATTTAAGGGTGTCCTAATACAATTATTTGACCCAACGTCGTTGCTGGTACACCGCCTCGTGTCCACCCTCCTCTTAGTACATCACTCTGCACACTGCGTTGTATCCACTCTCCTCTTGGTACATCACCCTGCACACTACGTTGTGTCCACCCTCCTCCTGGTACATCACCCTGCACACTCTGCACACTGCGTTGTGTCCACCCTCCTCCTAGTACATCACCCTGCACACTCTGCATATTGTGTCGTGTCCACCCTCCTCCTGGTATGTCACCTCGCACACCGCGTCATGTCCACCTTCCTCACTGATACATCACTCGGCACATTGCGTGTTGGGCTCTGACACAATTTGTAACTGTTCAAGTCCACTACTATCAAATATTGTCCTCAATGTTTTTAAAATGCGTCTACGAGGGAGAAGTTTCCACATATTTATAAGAAATGTTTGGTTTTCTCTACAAAGGACGTGGGACTTCACAAGTTTTAATATCTTTAAATCGACAATTTATAATTTATAATAAAATAATTATTTAAAATTTTATATGAGTTTAGGTGCATAAAATTTTATTTAATTAAAATTTTTTATAGACGTTTTTTTTTAAATAATTGTTATTAAAAAAAAAAAAAAAAAAAAAAAAAAAAAAAAAAAAAAAAAAAAAAAAAAAAAAAAAAAAAAAAAAAAA